CTTTCCCTCGAAATGAATTCTGTTTATAGATATTATACCTAATTCTGTGTATAGAAGGGCCTGTCGATAGACGGACAAAACTAGCGCCCGGATATGCACAGACCGGCCAGCCTCACTCATTTGTAGACTGAAAAAAATGTGATAATTCATCAAACTGTCTGGCCATATTATTCAATTATCCATTATTCTAATAAGCGTGTGTATAGAAAGAAGCAAATGGTTTGACTGGCAAGTTCGGACTCATGAAGAGTGCCTTAGTAATAAAACGTAAATAATATATACGAGTCATCACTCGTGAGTCATCTTCAAAGATGTAATATTCCAGTATGATACGCCATTTAAAAATAAACACAGGTACCAGATGACAAACTGGAAAATATAGACTAAATCGTTTTCTCACAAACCAGGACAAAGCTATTTAATTCAAACAACAGCGCAGAATTTTATGATATATTTCATTAGATTATGGAAAAAAGGATCAGTACAATAATACTGAAAACTTTGCTGGGCTACAATTTGTAGTTTTTATTATCTTTATAGATCAGCGTCTAGAAATGAACTCAAGATGTTACCACAGGGAATATTCAACAACTTGAAAGATTTAAAGGACCTGTGAGTATAAAGTAATTCAGCTTCTTTTATCATTTGGACAGCTAAGTGGTGGAAAAAAATAAATGCTCCTTATCGAAAATGAATCTATATGAAATAGTAAACGATATGAGCCGTTAACATTAACTGGGGATTCTTTTCTAAGTTCCAAATGTTTTGCTTATAAACCGCATTTGTTATGCTACTCGGTCGTTGAAATTTCGAACTCTGATTGCACTGAATGCATAAGACCACTCAAAGAAAACCAGGTTGTTTTTGTCATAGTTAATAGATAACAAAGGGCACTGTTTCGTATTTGAAAATAAGGCTGACAATTGTTCCAATCCAATCACAGTTATAGCTACAACAACAAACATGGTGGCTTTTATTCGGAAATATTAAAAAATCAAAGTCCATGGAAATTTTGAGGGCGGTTTTGGTTCTTTTGTAAACAGTAGGTGTCAATCGACAGTGTTTTGGTCATGCGCAGTATTATTCGAAAAAAAGTCACTGATTTTGCAACCAAACTTGTGCGCACGTGACTCGCGCGAGCGTGCTTTGAGTTTAGGTAAGTAAAAATGTCGTCAACAAATCACGCGGACCTTTTTTATGTCTCCAACCATCGTAAATCGAAAACAGGCGGCGGAGTAGGAATTTATTTACAAAACAGCCTTGACTACAAACTTCTCTAAGAAGGTAAATTCTCAGATCCAGATTTAATTGAGTCACTTTTCTGGGAAATTATCGTTCCCCACGGAGAAAACATTATTTTCGGTTGCGTGTTCAGACCAAAATATCTTTGTGACGGATTGAGGGGTAAATACGGTATAGAATCATATCATTGAATAAAATCTCGCGTTCTGATTAGTTAACGAAGCGAGGTCTTTAGCGTGGAATTGCGAGTTGAAAACGAGGCTAAGTGATATTGTTTCGCATCTACGTAAGCACAGCAATTTTAAGCAATGCTGTTTTCTTTTTTTACTCATTTTTATTGTTATGCGATTCAAGGAAAATCCATTACTTGACGAGGGAATTCCGCATTAAATTGCACTTGAAAACACTTGATATCGCACTTCGTCACTCGCACTCGTCACTTCGCGATTCGTGCGATATCGGTTTTCGCGTGCAATTTAATGCGGAATTCCCTCGTCAAGTAATGAATTTTCCCATAGAAGAGTATAGAAGTTAAGGGTCAGATAAGGCATGTACACTTCTGTTGAAAACTTGTATATCGTGTGAAGTCTCATTTAAAATTTCGTTTAAAAGGACTCACCTCACAAGTCCTTGAATACTGGTTAAGCATCGTGGTGCTCATCCCGCAGGCATCAAACAACGATAACAAACAACTGCAACAACAAAAACAACAACAACACGCTAATCACATATGCAAAATTATTTTAAGCCTTAATTTACCCACATGATGTGCCGTTTAGAATAGGGCGTCGATCACTCGAGTCTAGATGCTCTCTGCTTGCGCTGTTTATCGTGGATGAAGTTCTATAGAAATTAATTTAGGAAGGTTCTTCCGGCCGACATCATGCAGCTTTGCAGATTATGTTATGATAATAGTTCATTGCGGGCTCATGTGACGTAAAGGCAATAAACACTGAATTACCGAAAACCTAGCCTAACTGCATCGATCGATTTTTTGTTGAATCGCATCACTGAATAAAATCTGGCATTCTAATTGGTTAACGAAGTGAGGTATTTAGCGTGGAATTGCGAGTTGAAAACGAGGCTAAGTGATATTGATTCCCTTCTACGTAAACATAACAATTTTAAGTAATGCTGTTTCCTTTTTTACTCATTTTTATTCAGTTATGCGAATCAAGGAAAATCCATTGCTTCACTCGTAAATTGCGCACTAAATTGCACTCGAAAACTGATATCGCACTCATCGCTTCACGATTCGTGTGATATCGGTTTTCGCGTGCAATTTAACGCGGAATTCCCTGGTCAGGTGATGAATTTTACTGTAGAATTCGCAAACGTACTGCTTAAATACATTTCTTATGTCGGAAAATACAAACAGACGAAATGTATTGAAAACCTTGCAAAATATTTATAGTATCACATGACTACAATCACACTTACTTTACTGAAGCTATGTGCACTTTCCTATTGGTACGAGTAATACCTCAAATTCTCAAATTTGAAAAATAAATTTGCATTTTTTTTAAGCTGGGAATCTGGTCGTCTCTGATGAAATTGAAAATTCGGAAAAGATACGAATAACGCCCACTGATCAGAGAACTTAGTCGCATTGAAAATAGTGGCTTTTAACGAAACAAGTCACTTGAAGGTGATCATTCATTCTGCGATCAGTGGTTCGAATCCCGTATAGGCCTGATTTTTTTCAGGTCTGATTTTCGCTATTGCATAAATAGCGCTCTTTACTGCGAGGATCATGCATCATAAGTATCTAATATCGCAGTTCAAAATATATGAAACTCATATATTCATTATATTCATGACACTTGGTTGGCTTTCGTTGACCAATCACAAGTCTTTGAAAACTAATCAAGTATCCTGATGCCCATCCCTTGCGAAACAAAAACCAAGGAGAAACTTAAAGTAAAACCCTTTTTAATAAAAGGTATATTCACGGTGCTCAAAAACAAGCTCTTCCCATTTGCAGTGAGAAGATTTTCTCAGACGTGGTAAGCAAGGGATTAAATTTTGAAACAGCGCGCGTGACATGGCAATCGTTGTAAATTAGCGTTGAGGAAGAATCCTGCTAAACAGTTTTTCGGAATGGTCTTGGGTAATTGTCGCTATATCCTTTTTTAAACTTTAGTATTTTTTTATAAAGCCTTGCTGCTACTCAGTGTCAACGAAGGAAATAGGCTTGTCAGTTGTTGTTTTTTTTATCCTAAAGTAGGACTAAATAATTTCAGCAGTCTATTCCTCGCAATTAAATAATATGAATTCAATTTTGACCGAAAGATAATGAGTAACTTAAAATATGATCCTTGTGGGTCAGGTGTTTTTAAAGAAATTCCAAAAAAGAAGCCTTAAAAAAGGTGTACATGCCGCGACGGAGATCGAAGTCATGCTTTCGGAGGTGCTTGGCCGCTACCACCAACTGACCGACGAATCTAAGTATCGAGAGCGAGGCAAATCTTAGTGCTCTCCATTATCATAGAGAAATATGATCCAAATTGACAGAAATAACTTGTACTCATTTATACCTACATGTCCCTCATTTTCTTGTGCAACCTAGAGCAATGGATAGCCATGTTTTCTCCATATTCCGTTTGGAAATTGACCAATGATAATTTCGTTTTATAAGTCTGACAATAAACAACAGAATAATCGTAGAAATAAGTACTAGAAAAATGAGTACAAACAAGAAGATCAGTCGTACCTTTGCATGATTGTGAGAGGTGTATGATGCTTAATCGACCATCATCCAGCTTTGTAGACTATGCTATGATAAGGATACATTGCGGGCTCATGTGACGTAAAGGCAATAAACACTGAATCACCGAAAACTTTCCATACGATTCACAGACGTACTACTTAAATAGATTTGTTATGTCGGAGAATACAGACAGGACATAACATTTAAACAACGATATCAACCGGATTTCTTCGTGAATGCAAGAAACTAAGCCTTTTTTTCAATATGAGCAAGATTGAATATGTGATATATGGCCTACATCAACGGCTTAAGCGGAAGAATAGTATAGGCTTATCCTGCAATGGATCTTCCTTGTCAAAATCCGAGTCTTTCAAATATCTTGGCGTTGTAATTGATCAGCACTTGAGTTTTAACAATCATATTTAGCGCGTGGTCAATAAGGTCTCAAGGAAATTGGGTGTTTTTAGGCGTCTGAGAATTTCTATTCCCATGGCTGCTGCTGAACGCCTTTACAAGACGATGATTTTACCTGTTTTTGATTACTGTGATGTGGCCTGGCACGGCTGTGGTAAAGCTAATTCTGATGTACTCGAGCGCTTACAGCATAGAGCTGCAAAGTTAATTTTTCCAAATTCTGGTCTCGATACTAAAGAGCTCTTA